TGTTTTTTTTTGTCTTTATCTTTGTCTTTGTGTTTTATTTGTTTTTTTGTTTTTGTTTTGTTTATTTTGTTTATTTGTTTTTTTGTTTTATTTTATTTTATTTATTTATTTATTCTTTTGTTTGGCTGTCTTTGTTTATTTGCTTTTGTTTTTTCTCCTTTTATCTGTCTTTGTTTTTTCTTGTCTGTCTCTCCCTTTCTCTTTTTTTTTTTTATTTTTTTATTTTTATTTTTATTTTTTTTATTTTCCTTTTGTCTTTGTCTTTGTCTTTTAGCCGGCTGTCTCCTCTCTAATTGGTCTTCTTGGAGCGGCTGCTGCTGTTGCTGTTGCTGCTGCTGTGGTGTAGTAGAATCTCCTCTGCTGCTGCTGTTTCGTTTTGCTGCTCCTAGTAGTTAAGCCTGCTGCAGCTGCCTGCTTTGTCTATGCTCCTGCTGCAGCAGCAGGAACAGCAGCAGCAGCAGCAGCAGCAGCAGCAGGTCAGCTGCTGCGTGGTTATAAAGAAAAAGAAGAAGAGAAGGAATCGAAGGCGGCGCTGCTGCGGGGGGTTTTGCTCGGCATGTTTGTTGCTGCTGTTGTTATTTCTCTCTTTTTTATCTTAAAACAAAAAGAGTAATTTACTTTGCTGCTGCTGCTGCTGCTGCTGCTTCTGCTGCTGCTGCTGCTGCTGCTGCTGTTGCTGCTGCTGCTTGTGCTCGTGCTTGTGGTGGTGGTGGTGGTTGTGCTGCTGGTGCTGTTGCTGCTCTGCTTCTGTTTCTAATCCTGCTGCTGCTGCTGCTGCTGCCGCTGCTGCTGCTGCTGCTGCTATTGCTGCTTCTGCTGCTGCTGTTGCTGCACAAGCCACTGTATCTGGTGAAGCAGCAGCCACACTCTTCTCATCTGTGCTTCTGCTGCTGCTGCTGCTGCTGCTGCTGTTACTGGTGCTGTTGCTGCTTCTGTTTCTGCTGCTGCTGCTGCTGCTTCTGCTGCTGCTGCTGCTGCTGTTACTGCTGCTGTCGCTGCTTCTGCTGCTGCTTCTGCTGCTGCTGCTGTTGCTGCTGCTGCTGCTGTTGCTGCTGCTGCTGCAGGCTGCGTGCGCGTGCGGTGTTGTCTCGGGTTGAGGACTGGGCAGCAGCAGGGGGTGGGCGTTGCAGCAGCAGCAACAGCAGCAGGAGCAGCAGAATGCACAGCAGCAACAGCAGCAACAGCAGCAACAGCAGCAGCAACAGCAGCAACAGCAGCAACAGCAGCAGCCCTGAATCCTTGAAAGAGATGCAGGTAGAGGAGGACCTCCCCTTCTGGGGAGGAGACGATCCCGACGACGAAACGCAGCAGCTTAACCCACCAGCAGCAGCAGCAGCAGCAGCAGCAGCAGCAGCAGCAGCAGCAG